TAAGTATTTCTAAAAGCATTCTGCTTCCATGTTTTCCATACCCTACCGATTTATCAGGATTGAGCAATCACTACAGGTACTGTAATGCTAAAATTGTTGATATTTGAAAAATTATAGGGAATCAAATGATGGGTAGAGCACGAAATCACTTGAGTAAATAGAAGGAAAAGAAATGTTGAAATAACAAGACAGGAAGTGTTAACATCTATGTCCTAAAGTAGACAGTAATAAAAGTAAATAAAATTGACGGCAAGGCACTTTAGGCTGTGCTTTAAAATATAAATCACTTCAGTTTGAATTTATCATAAATGGATTTTCATGGTTCAACTTCGCGATTTCAATATACCGTTGAAGTAAAAGAACGAATACGTTAGTACGGAATTAATGCTTTAAGGAAATAAAAGCTAGTAATTGGCAAAAGGTAACAATATTGGAGTTATTGAACCGAGTTTGCTTCTAATCGGTGTTAAAATCTTCTAAGCAATGATGAGTCCAAAATAATAAGATAACGCTTAAATTGATGGGGTATTATAAAAAAAAAATTAATTCAACAATCGATTATTTCAGTTTTAGAAGACTGAATAGCTATTATATTAATGACAGTTAATTTATGACAGGCAAATAAGATAAATTTTCTAGAAACCAAGTCTCCTCTCTTTATACTTCTCCATGTGTGGCCACATACGTCACGGGACAGGCCTCATCGTTAACATCTGCCTAGATCAAACGTATTATTTTAGAACTCACTGCTATTATACTTTTCGTCACCACTTTTTTCCTGTCGGAAAACAGCATTTCTTCTGACACAAATCACACTCTATTTATGTTTTTTCAAAAAACTCTATACACCAGGGTCCTAAATACTCTCTATCCTGGTATTGCAGAGACCGATAATAGATCAGAAAATTCATCCTCCATATTAGTTTTGGAATTATGGAAACCTAAATGTTCGACGCTATTCTATAATTATTTCAGCTTTTGGAAGAATATACCATCAAGTTTAGAAGTGAAAGACAGCTGTTCATTATGTTGAGCGTTAATTCAAAGCCTTTCGGTGTATGTCAATTGAAAGGACGTGGATTATTCGAAGCAAAATTTTGCAAACTCATTTATTAATCTGAAAAAGGTGATAAGAACCCAAAAATAATAACTTATTTATGAAAAATAAAATAAAGAATGCTCAAATTAAGCGTTTGAAGTCGGAACAGTATTTTTATTTATCAAGAAAAAGCAACTCCGTAACATGTACTTGCTCAAGGTAACGCGGTGTATTTTAAAGTTCTGCACCTCTGCTAGTGAGTCTAGTGTCCTCTAATTATATATAAATAAATCTAATCAACATATCCTTATAGTATATTTCAGTAAATTTTTTTTAATTTGGCACCATTACTACCAATATTTTTTAATGCTCATATATATCTTCCATGTTTGACGAATTTGATGAATGAAGGATTTTTTTGCAAAAGTATCTTGAATTCCCTTTAATTCGAGGATTCTGTTCTTATATTTTTACGTTATTTTTAGAATTATTGAAAGTGTTAGGTTTACTCTATTGATTTTTTAATTTTCAATTTTAATTTTATGTTTTGTTCTACTCGGGACTTTATGGTAATGACTTCTAAATGAATTAATCATATTCTATTGTATGAAGCTACAATATTAACTTTGAGCCCTCAATCGGACTTCACCCTGGGATTGTGAGGTCTTATTGAGACCAAATCGTCGTTAGTGACATTGTGTACATGAAAGAGACGACACGTGCAGGGTCACAATTCATATAAACTTCCAGAGTCCTCTTCAATTTAGAGTAATTTAATTTGGGAACAATTGTCAACTTTTTTAAAATGTACGTAATGGCATACATTTTGCACACGAAAAATTTATTATATACATGTGCACATTTAAAGTGATCTATTGACCACATTTTCTATTGGAACTTCAGAAATCATGTGCTTTGGATCTGAATTTGTCTTTCAGTATACATGTCCTGAGTTAAACTTGCTAATGTCTAGGTTACGGTGCTCTATTTAATTTTATGGTATTTTGACATCATATGACACGTTTCTCAAGAATTTCATATTCCATTGTGATAGCCTTGCGTTTTTTTCCAGTTAGTCAAAAGCTTTTCAAGAAGTCACCTCCCCCATATTTTCAGATGTCAAAGCGATATCGCATTCTCTCCAATTTTGGCGTCGTATAACAACTTCGGTTAACTAGTTTATGATGTACTGGTTTCTGCCTTGCAGCCTTAATTCAATTACCAAGTCATGTGGATTCTAAATCACTCATGGGCTGAATTTTTACTGCAAAAAATCGTTTGAATAACTTCGCTGATTCATTAGTAAAGCGAACAAGCTCTAAATGGCTGACTTTAATTAAGTTTTTTTGTCCATAACTCATCGACGGCTTGCTTACTGAAAAAAGTTTCACCCCTCTCAAGACATTTTATTGATCAGTCCACTTTTATCTTCCATTCTCCAAAACTAATCACACTTCTATTAGCTGATTTATTCTATTTTATAGATTTGCTACTGATTTACATCATTCAACCCTCATGAAAACACTTAAGTAATTTATTGACTTCATAGTTTGTTTGCTGGATATAGATTATTAATCGCGAAGGTATGGGTTATTGCTTAGTATTGAATTTCTTTCTTTAAAAAAATTAGTAGAATATCTGCGTTTTTTTAATCTTTACTAAGTTCAGCTGTGGAAGCAGTAACCTTTTGGTCAGCCTGCATTTCACATGTCGTTGGAATTCTATTGATTTTCAACTAAATATGCTCTTATTGAATTAAATTTAGCCTTTTATTTACTTGCTACCACAAGTATGAACCTGGTCTCACACATGCATTAGCTAACGCTCAAGTCATGTCATGTGATTTCAACCGGCTAAAAGTACCTATTTTTGAATAGATCTTGAATTTCAACCTCTGCTTTGTGGTTTGAATTAGGGCTACTTCTTGTGATATCCTGGGACACTTCAACTGAATACGAGTATTCCGCACCTTCCAATTTCCAAAGAAGGTTTTGCGCGTGTTGAAGTAGGATAAAAGAGAAACATACAGGGTAGTTAAAATTTGGAAGTATCAAGAAAGCGTGAGAAATCAACCTTTTTATGAACTCCAGATTCCTCCTTTGATTACATTTACACATGTTCAAGTCAATTTCGTCACTAATTTCTTCATGTGACAAGTTCATATTTTACCAATGCCGTGGGTTCTACTACTGAGAGTGCTTTTTTACAATCCCTTCATCTTTTGAGATGTGTAGAAGCAATTCCCCCTCGTATTCTGCCTAAAAGTTAAAGCGAATTTCATCTCTCGTTCTTTTTAAACGTTTCACTTAAATCTTCTCAGCAAATGCATATTTAACGACGCGGTGATTAACAAATGCTAGTTATTCGTCGATGTAGTTCTCGTAACGTGTAATTTACTTTTTAATGTTGGAAGTCCTTTAATTCAATTTGTGCAACTTAGTGATATTAGTCGTTTGTTGAAGGGTGAAATCTGACCTTTCTATGTCTCACGTCGACACGCATTGACTGAGAATGGGGTGTTATTCTTAGGTCTGTAAGAATATAACCAAATGCCAAGTTTCAAAGCATACACATCACGCATATAGACTTTTTTCCAAAGTTTTATCAGCTGAGGCCATTCCCACCTATGCGTTAATATACTTGAATGAGGGGTCACTGTGTCAGGTGTCATTTTTAGCCTTCTTGAAAGGCGCAGCAATCAGCCAATTATGCCAATGGGTCTTTTCCTGGCAATTTCCTGAAAAATTTTCTTTGATTGTTCAAATTTATTTTTCGCTTTGTTGAGAGCTTTTGGTTAATCTAACCTACAGTTAGGAGTATGAATACGCCAAGCTGAAATGTTGATTGGGGAGGTGGCTCATTATTATCAGAAGACGCTAGAAAATAACTTTTTTTACCAGCTTCTTTTTTTGCTGACAAAAGAACGTGACCAAATGGTGTAATTTCTGTTTTTTATTTCAAAATTGAAACTATGCACAACTATTCACTTGGAGTCTTTCAATTCAACTGCAATATTTTTTGTGTACATTATGATTTTTGGTGATCCTTGCATTGATATAAGCGTACATCCCCTCTATAATAATCTAATAAATGGCACTTCAAGGCAGCAAGATCTTGAACAGTTGAATATCTGACGATTTATTTTTGGGAACCAATTTTAGTCATCTTATGGCGTATCATAACAGTTGCTCTTAAGTAATTTTCATACCGCATGCTGATGGTACAGCTCTTCGCTATTTATTTATTCATAAATATTTTGCAAATAAATAAACTCGAATGTAACGAGTGACTCAAAGTAGTCTCGCGTGTCTATGACAGCGTGCTATGAATTTTAATCACTACAATTCTTAATGCTACTGTCCTATTCTCAGTTCACTAATTATCCAACCATCCATCTTGATGAAATCTTATGCTTTAATTTGCAAGAAATAATTGAGTATTAATAAAGTATTAGTGATATTTCTTTCCCAATAAACTCAATAATCATTGCGTCCAATAGTGTTTCTAGGAGCAGTAGATGATACTCGCCGAGTTTGTCGTCTAATTAGTATTATTTAAATGATGCCTTTTTTGTCGTGAATCTAATTGTCGGTCCTCACTAACTATTCAGCCGATTTCTAAGTCCATATCTAAGTTATTCGACCCCGCAACTGCCCCAATAAGGTAGCCAATCAGCTTTCAAATACCCGATTCCCTAAAAGCAAATGTATTGTCTTAACAAAAGAATCGTCGTTTTCAATGCAAGTAGTTGTCCCTCATGTTGAAACTTGATTAGTTTTAGTATTGTAAAAAGAAATCTACCTGTTTACGCCTATCTTTTCTTCAAAGTTCAGATAATCTGTTGTTCGATTATTTATCCTTCATACAAACCTTCTTTTTTGCGATTGATAATCACTAGCATAGTATTTCGATATCTTTATCCTTTTTATCAGGTGAATACATACTCAATTAGTCACACAAAATGACAGGAATAGGCTGGAACTTCGGCGACAATGTTTCCGCCGCTCCTCCGTCTTCCTCAATAGTTGGTTCCGGTTGGTCCAGTAATTACGCCTCTTCGCCTCTCCAGAGTTCCAATCCACTACAGCAACCTCCAAGTCGGCCAATGGGAATCGGTTTCGTTTTTGACGAACCCCGTGCACCTATGACCCCACAAGCCCCTCCTGTGAATCAGAATCCGCATCATCTTGGTGTCGCAGATAATCTGGCTAAAAGGTCTCAATCAATGAATGTTCCCCAAAGGCCCCCTCCTTCCAGGCAAAGGAACCCCAATCCCTATTCTAGTTCTTTTGAAGTTGTCACTCCTGGTGGAGATACTGCTAACGTACCGGGAAAAGCATTGTCGGCGATGAATTCAAGACGTAAGCGACACCTTCATTCTTCCTTTTTATCAGCTGCTTTTTTATGACCTTTGTATTCTCTCCTAGAATTTCTACCTGGATTCATAGATTTACATTTAATCAGCTGATTTATGTGCAATTTAGTCGACCGATTTATTATGTTTCCGAATTGTTTGCATCTTCTTACACAGAGATATAAGCGGGCATATACCAGGCTAATATAGGCATTTCACATATAACAGAGCCCACTAAAGTTTACTCTAGGTGACTGTTGTAGAATCTGAAAACCAGTCAGTCGAAACGCCTAGAATAACATGGAAATAAATTCAAATAATTCACGACATATCAAAATGAAGAAGTCTATACTTTCAGAATTCCAATCAAGCCGATACGTCGCTTGAAATTTCGCTTGTTTAGATGTCATCCAATGGGAAGAGTTGGCACACTTTTTCCTGCATCATCTTAGCCTATAGAATTTCGCTGATAAGTGTAGTGGATGGAATGATAGAATATAAGAAATTTGAAGGTTTTATTTGGCAAATAAATATTACTTTCGGAAGGAATTTCGGCTCTAATTGTTTTACCCACTTAAACAATTTTTAATGGATATAATCCATGTTTATTTAGAGACAACCGTTGTTCTGTGCCCCCCCCCCCTAACCTTGTAGTAAACGATGTACTTCTCGTAAACAATTTGGTGTAAAAATGACGCCTTTTTTGTGCTAACCACAAAGAAATGGACCTGTTTATCCCCTCATCTTTGTTATTCTGTGCTTCAAGAGTATTTGCCAAAAAATTTTTTCATAGTTAACCGAAAATTTAATTCAAGCAATCCAGACTCTAGGCCCTTGACCACACATTTCAGTGAAATGACCCTGTAGGTGTTTAAGACCTGATCAAAATTAAATTAGCAAGCAGACTTTTTTTCCACCGCGTTCTCTCTATCAACTAAGAAACGTTTCGCAAGGTTGTGTCCAGGCACAAACTGAATTCTATTATCTGTTTGCAAAATATGCGATTTCGTTTTGGTGTTCCTAAAACTAGCCGTCTAGATTATTACAACAAGGCTGAGCATATTGAGAGCCACAGAAGGTAAACCTCTTATTCTTCTCGTACTAATTAAAGAAGAGCATATTGTTACTGCCTACTAACTACCAATGGTCTGCTCATCTCACTTGCCCAATTTTTGTAAAATTATATATTTCCGATAACTTCCCCTTCTAATTTTGCTCTATTAACCAATTGTTGCTGAATGTGCTTTGCACCCTTAGCAAATGTTAATTTGCTTCAGTCCATAATTATACACGACTACTGTCAGTTTGTGTTGTAGCGCGTTTTAATGTCACGCCACGAAATCATTCACGGATTTCTATATGTGTGAAGTCACGCTTAATGGTGTGTCAATTACTGCACAAACCCAAGTACCATTTGCATGCTTACCCATGCTATGAAGTTCTACGTGAGATGCGTAAAACGTTGTATTGTTCGAATCTCGGCATAGGATGATGCCAGAGCGTAGATTCCCTAATTCTCTTTCCACTTCATCTCTGGGTAAATTGTCTGACAATGTGAAGATTAGCGAGAAAATAGAGCCTACTTATTTCATTTTAATAGATCATTATTTTAGTAAAACTCGAAATAAATTGACTTGCTATATATATTTATATTTTTCAGCTTCAAGTCGATCCGATGCCTACGAGCGTGGTTTGAATGATATGGCGGAGTTAATGACAACGGTGGATATAGATGAGGCCGAAAAACGACGGATTCGGGAGAGATTTGCTCTGGATTAATGAGGCTCCCTTTTCCTATACTCCTTTACTCTGATAATTTGTTTCTTTTGTTGTGTTTTCATCTTGTCTGCTGGCTTCCATTTTAATTACCTCTACTATTTATTTATTTAATCTAATTATAGCTGTTATGTATTTTGTGGCAATTGATTGGTAAGAACTATTTCTATTTATCTGATTTTTAATGGTGTTGGTGACCAAACATTGCTCCACTACTCTTGTAATACTCAGGAGGGGTTTTTTGCCATATTTACTTGAAATTTATTGAAAGTTCTTTTTTTCATACCAAAGTTTGAAACCTAAAGGGTTGATGGCGGCGTCATGGTTTGGATTTTACATTCATTAAAAATTTAATCAATATAACTTCCGCCATGCTCAAATATTACCTGAGTAGGCTGCTATTTTAACTGCCCTTGAATGGTTGTCTAAAATTTATTTATTTCAAATGACAGGCGTTTTGATAGATATCATTAGCCATTTAGCTGACTTCGGGCTTCGCAGAGGGAGGAACATCAAAGTAACAGAAAGTCGAGGGGTGGGGAACAGAAGAGTGGCTCACAGATGTGAAAGGGTCAGACAGACACAAGGCAGAGAAATGGTAGGATGAGTACTGTGGAAGGGGTCGAATATGACAACCAGGGGGGTCGTGGTAGTTTGAAGTCGGAAGTCAAATGCCGGTTAATAGACTTTTTTGCCGTATGAGTATACGTTGCCCAGAGTGCACCACGTAGAGGTAAGTCTATCGCACACCCCTGGTTGTCTAAAATTGAGTTAATAACTTTCACGGTTGCTCACTTTCTGATTGAATTGAGTGATTTTTCACTTTTTCAATTATTTTTGCCCGATATCAACCTCACAAAGATTTATAAGAATTATCCCATATCGGTGCCATGCATTATCCATAATGGGTTCCTTCCGTTGAAGTACTACATCGTTGTCTTAAATAGGAAAGTAGACTTTCGATGGAAAAGTCGGGCAAGATTTGTGCCAAAGCCATAGTGCAGTATCAATGTAGCTATTTGACCTAAACGTGTTAAATGTCGCATGGCAATTAACATACGACAAGGTCATGAAAAGTTCTTTTAAACTGAGATAAGATTATTCAACGAATTATCTAACATTCGCATCGACAATTCAAATGCAAAGTGGTATGATTAACAAAATATGGAAATACCAAAGCGACCAGTCTAATTAATGTTATTGGGAAGCAAACTGTCAACAACATTGTAAGTTATAGCCATAATCTACCCCCGAAATCAAGGCTAACTTTAAATAGATTGGATCATTCAATTGCTAGATTTTTCTGAACCAGTGATTTTTTATCCACCACTATTTGAAATACTCCATACATTAAATTGGGGTCTTTATAATTTACGGGAAAATGCAGATGCATTTATCTTGACCTTCCAATAATAACCTTGAAGTGCTTACTCTCTGAATTTAATGCACACACTAATGCATAAATATTTGTAGCAATTAACTTTCTATATTTTGTTTAAAGTAGGCACTAACTTAGGGGCCATAAAGGCAGAATCAAGAAGTTTAGGAAAGAAATCGAGATTGAGAATGTGGTGTCTGAATATTTTTATCAGTGGCAGAGTAAAATACGGTAAATATGATCTTGACAACGGCTAAAAACCCAATAAAATAGGAAGGATTGGGGGAATTAATTATATATATTTCCAAGGCGATAAATCGACAAACATCGAGGTGTAGTGGTACAGCAATGAGGTCAAAGGTCACATGCCCACCGTAATACACTCAGTATATCGGAATGTTGAAAGGCACTATTCCAATAATGAACGGCTCTATGAGGGTATTCTTTTCTATCTACGATTTTTTTGGAAGCAATTTTCTAGGTGGATTCACTGGTTATCAAACAATCGGTTAGGCTACTTCAGAATTCTCCTCATATTTGCTGCAATTGTAGGTATTAGGCAAAGTTAAACATACGAACCAGATAAATTTGTTAAAGTACCTTTAATATCAATATTATATAAATTTTTTTGCTTGTCCTTACTAAAAATTAAAAAAAGAACATGCTCTACTGAATGCGTTCGTGCAAACAAGGGTTTCAGATTTAAGACATCTCAACGAAATGAAGAGAACATTTTCCATTAAATTTAGCCACGAGAACTCAATCAAAGCTGGGGAAAGCATTATTATTATTATTATTTCAAATGGCAGGCTTTGTGATACTTATCATTAGCCCTTAAACTTTGACTTCAGCTTCCCCCCCACGAGGGGGGGGATACATTTATAGCAGTTAATTAATAGCAGTTCATTAGCCGTCTTCTTGCTTCTCAGTATCTCTGGCTTTCCATCGTTGTCTTTAGAGCTGGACATCGAATCAGGTGGGTCTTCTCCATTTCCTCATGTAGGTTACATAGAGGGGATGTGGGTTGAGTGTATACTCCCAATCTGTGAAGATCATAATGCCTTAAAGGCCATCATGTGAAGTCTAAAAGGGGTCCTCCTCTTCCCCCACCCCCAATGTACTTTAACTTGAAGAAGTACTTGGTGCTGTTAGTCCATTTACTCTAAATCATTCTTCAATGAATAAAAAAGTAAAGACTGAATTGTCATTTTAACACATCAATAGGGGTCAATAATGAAAGCGGAATTGTGTTCGAATTATGAGCTAAAAGGTTTGCAACATGTTCTAATTTGTTTTTAGAATCTCTGGGGAACACAGCGATAGCTTGACTGAAGCAAAGAATGCTTTGTGTGCTCGAACACTCTGAAGCGTGCGGACGTGACGCTGATCGTATTAGGGCAGCAAGTGAGGTCACGAGTGCCCGGCCCTCTCAGCCAATCAACAATCAATAATCACAGCATGGTCAACGTAGCCAATGATTGTATACAAAATGAATAGGCTCCATGCCAGTTGCACACAGCCCAAATAAACATGTCCCACGACTTGTGTCTGCTTCCTCTATATCGTTGAAGTAGGTGAGATAACTTCGTTGGACTTTCCATACTACAGAATCTTGCCATTAGGGATTACGGAGAATAAGTTAAGGCTCATTAGTGCAACCAACCTCTAAAAAGTCAACAAAGACATAAGCATAAATAACACACAGCAAGCTATCAGATATTAAAGGAATGTTGCTTTCAATTCGCTGGTTCTTGAATAGTGACTCATTCTTTCCCCTTCTTAAAGTGAATTATTTATTGACTCGTTCAACGTCAGCAAAAAAATGTGGGAGAAAACGCGGAAGATTTGAACAGGCCTATTTCCAAAAGTGTTCTATTTTTCAGTTATAAATGGCGATTAAGTGGAAGGCAGGAAGAGGAGATGTAGGTCAGAACTTTAGAACAGGCAGAAAGTAGAAATGGTCGTTCAGCAACATATCTTTTTTTCCCAATGACAGTGTCAATAAACCCAAAATTCTCGATTTCTGCTGAGGAGACTTCTTAGTTGAGCTTACATGGGGTGTGCGATAGACTTACCTCCACGTCGTGCACCCTGGACAACGTATGCTCATACGGCAAAAAAGTCTACTGATCGGCAGTTGACTTCTGACTTCAAACTACAATGGCCCAACTGTATGTCATATTCCCCCACTTTCACAGTACTCATCCTACCTCTTCTCTGCCTTTGTGTCTGTCTCTTTTACATCTGTAAATCACTCTTCTGTTCACCCTCTCGACTTTTTGCTACTTTGATGTTCCTTCTCCTCTCTGTGAAGCCCCGAAGTCAGCTCCAGGGCTAGTGATAACTATCAAAACGCCTGCCATTTGATATAAATAAATAGTTGAGCTTACCTAGGCACTAAATTAGGATTGGCAGGAAGAATAAGAAGAATTACTCTTGCCTGAGGCACTTTCCAGAAGTAAGAATAGAAGGCAAAATATGTCACTAATAAATTGTTAGTTAGGAGGCCTTAATATGTTAAGAAAGAATGAAAAGTCAGTGAAGTAAACAACCCTATCAAGGTCAACCCGAGTCATCTCGTGCACGCCAGAATATCCAGGATTGTGTAGGCATGCTATCGATCGCGTGACGAGCAAGTGCGGCCGTGCGTGCAGGGGTCTTTTCAGCTAATAGGCAATTAATATTCATTCAAAGCAGTGTCAACTACCTTTATTACTGATCGCATTTATTAGTACACCACATTTGCACTAAACGCTCTACTCTAATTGTTCTCGCTGCTATTTCTGAATCTAATGTGTATATATTATGAATAATGAGATAATTATTGAACATTTGAGTAATGAAACGCACCAATAAGATGAAAAAGCGCATACAAATGGTCAAACTCGTTGACACGTACAAAAGTGACACTTGTCATCTATGAAGCAGATTCTCTAATTGGTAGGAATTTCGTGCATATGGGGCAAACAGTATGCCTTGAGAACTTCCTTTTGTTTGGCAAAAGCGGTGAAGGTGGCAAAATCAATGAAGTAAGACAAAGACCTTGCGAAAAAGTGGTAAAGAAAAAATAAAACAGTAGAAGAAATGATGCCACTGACGGAAAATATATACCGAAAGAATTAGATGAAAATATACTTTCAATAAAATCCTGACTTCTTAAGTAGGCTGAATTAACGCATCTTTGCTAGACAAGACAAGAGTCCCTCAAACCGCTAGAATAAACGACATGTTCTTTGTGAATTATCTTATTCCTCTGTGCCACTCATACACACTTTCAACTTGTCAAGTTCAGACATAGATTCTGTTGGTGACAAACATAGGCCTTTCTTTTGCATAAATAAACGAATACACACAGCAGGGCTGACAAATAAGAATCTTTTGACTGTTGTGCATTCAGCAAAGCCAGGGATGGCCAAATTTCATCTAAAAACTCAGTTTTAATATTCTCAACGAATTCTTTGAATGAAATTACAATAAATAGAGTTGATAAACGAGCCTCCAGACATGTTTTATGCCCCAATCAGACTATTAAATATGGTTTACAAAAACTGCTAAGCAATCATTCCTTATTTGAAACAATGCACAGTTTAGTAGATTTGCCGCTCTGATTAAAATAAATGCTACA